GCTGTGCTTTTTAGTTTTAACACAAGCATAAAAGAACTGTGTATTCCAATAAGAGTTATAAATATTCGTACAGTGCTTCATTACTTTGACAAGAACATCACCAGTGATTAAAAGACTAAACGGATTACAAATTCACAACACTGCACTAGAGACACTCTTTCACATGCTCCATCTTCTTCTTCGGCCGCTAACAAAGAGTTTGTATGCTGATGGTGCTAGTGATACCCTGATTAAAAGTCTGCCTTGTCTTTTTGTGTGTGAACTGAGTATTGCCAAGACCTTTAGTGACCCTGTGCTTAGTCAGTCTTATCTGGTATGCTATGTGTAGTTGTGGCAATGATAGTAACAAGAGTACCTTATGGTATAGTAGTAGTAGCAGCAGAAATAATTGTAGTAGCAGCAGTGCAAAGATTAAGCATTAAAACTCTATAGTGAATCTCCCAGTCCTTAAGAAAGAGAATAGGGGCTTTTGAGCTGAAATGCTATAGAAAGATTCTCAGAATATCTTGGACAAAGAAAAAGAGAAATACTGACATCTTTAGAGATTTGAAGATGGGTACAGGATATAAGTGACTCATGAAGTATGAAGGTACATGAGGCGGGAGATCTGGCAAGATACCGAGTTTCTTTCAGGCAGACCGTGATGAAAGCGACGTTCTGCAAAGGACCTGCTATATGATGATGATGAGCAGCAGTAGTAGGACCCATTAATGATGCCAGCAGTGAAGTAACGGACTTAACAGTGGTAGTAGTAGCAGCAGCAGCAGTAGTAGGAGATGTAATACCCAAATTTATTATCTGTTTCACTCTTTCAGTCCCACAAGGTCCTAGCTAATTTCAGAGGGACACTGACAATACTAAATCCATGGGTATACTACTTCAAGGGGGGCTAAATTTACAACCCTTACAGGAAACAAATATGTTTTCAGAGTTCTTCAGAGTCGCTCATTAAACATAAGATGTAAAATCATAAATAATATGATAACCGGTAAATGGGAATGATACCAAATCACACAAAATGTGTTGTTTGGGACAGAAAGAGTTGAATCACCATGAATTACTGATACTATGGGGCCTAGGCTGCAATGGCTGGAGTATACTGAGAGAATAGCAGATGACAGAGAGACAAAAATGGTCTCACAAAAGAGATGAAAGGGACAGACCAAGAAGAATGCGGAGAAATAATACACAGGCAGACATTCAACTATCTGGGGCCACCAAATTGAAAGGCTAGTCATAGAGATTAATGGAGGCTGGTAATATCTGCAGCAATGAATCAATGAATCTCAAATGGTCAGCATGCTGAAGAAGAAGAAGAAAACACAGCAGCAGAAGCTACTAGACCAACAATATTTGACCTTTTAAAGTCAACAGGCTTAACTTCACTACACTGGGTTTTGTCCTATATGGCTTGGTCTCTCTCCCCACAACAGCTCGCAGCCTACCAAGAACACAGCACAAAGCACAAACACCGTAACTCTGGTGACAATCTATAGGGACCTCTGTAAATTCTTTTTTGTGTGGGCCACTTCCTATCAGTCATTTGATCACATAATTTGTGGTGGCAACATGGGCAAATTCTGTCTACCTACCCGACTCAGTATATTCCAGATGGCGATTACAACTGAAGTCATTGTGTGTTATTTCCCAACCAGGGGTGAGTGAATAGTTATTATAATTTGATCAACTGCTGCTAATTCCTCTGAGTTCATTTTATCTGCTGAACTGTAGAAAAATGTGCTGCCCATATGTGAGAGTAACATTGGTGAATTTCTTTGTTCTCCTCACTAACCACTTTTATACTCTAGTATGTACATGTCTTTAAACATACTATGTATTTACTGATCGATATAATATTTGATACTAGAAACATGAGTTGGTGTATTTGATTATCTTCTTCTTCTTTTTCATGTTCACCAGCTGTAAACTCTGGCGGAAAGTTCTGGTTGTTCGTCCACTTCTGGACTGCAGTCCTGTTCCAAAACCTGAGTGTTGCATGTGCATCTGTTTTACAGATCGACTCATTTGTATGCAGACTGCTGGTTCCTTGCCTCTCAGGCAGATGCACTCCGACTTCGAAGGAAGCTCCCAATTAGTCGACTCTTACAACATTCTTTTGGGTAGGCAGTGGTTCTATTCTTGTTTTTCATGTAATAGTTGCCTGAAACCCACATGGGGAGTATTTGATTATTATATTTGATCACTGACAATGGATGTCCGAATGTGAAATCTCAGGCCAGTTTGATTTCCAACATGGTGAGATTTGATTAATGAAGGAACCAGGTGTATATTCTCTTTACCTAATCTTAACTTGGTTTATTTAGTCTCGTGGTGATTTTAGTTTTATAAATAGCTGTTTAGATGTAATTTAGATTTAGTCCAGTAAATTCTAAGACTAGTTTTAGATGGTGAAAAGGGAATACTATGTAATGTCTACATTTATCAGGTTTACACTGTCAGAGGAGAATGGAGGTGGGCCCATGCTTGTAATGATTATTGTTATATGTAATTCCCCATTACTAGGAATATACTTTCAGTATCACTGTGTATGTCCATATAATTTTAATAATTATCTTGGTAATCTTGGTAATCTTAGTTTCAGCTTCATAGCAAACGAGTCACCCCATAGTTGCTCCGCTCCTGTGCCAACGAAAAACACACAGAATGTTCGTCGCAGTCCCTTGTGGAAAGATTGACAGACTGCTGTATTTATATTACATTCTTCACATCTTTTATCCTCAAGTGAATAAGATTTAGAGAATGTATTTCAAAGTTAAACTGGTGTTAGTGTTGAATAGTTTATGATGTACCTGTAACAGATGGAGACCCTAGTATCATCCATGACTGTATCAAGACATCTACCCCAGCACCCTGTTAGCTGTGAATGCTTTACAGGATTTGTTTACACAGCCATGAAGTAAAGGTTATTATGACAGATAAGAAATACATTTAAAAAAAAGAGACAAATAATATGTTAATTTTGTTTTTAAACAGTCATACCTACCACCTCTACACACTGTGCAGTCGCAGCCAGTTATCAAAGCATGTTATTATTGTTTTTAAAACTGAACAGAATGGTTACCAAAGTTGTTATTTATCATAAGAAGTTCGAAAAATTATAAAATGTCAGCCAAAACGAACAAACACACAGTGAGATGCTTGGAAATGAAAAGTCAAAAGTATGCACACAAACTATTACAATGAAACAAGCTACAAAAGATAAAATATTTTAAAACAATTTATGTGAAGAAAAGGAAAAAAGATAAAGGTTTCAACATCTCAACCAGAATGAAAAACAGGAAGATAAAAAATGTTTTAGAGATTTAAAAAAAAGCAAAATACAAATACATTAATTATTTTAAAATGATTGCTTCATAAAAGAATTTCTTTACAGACCCCTGAAAAAAAGCAACCATTATCTCAACACAGACACTACCCCTAACAAGATCTGATGTGAAAGCAAGAGGACACCAAAGGAGAACACAGACTGATGACATTAGAGATATTCTACATTGATATAGAAGGACAACAATCAGTTTTACCCATATAACAATGGAAGAAAAAAACTGCTTCTTCCCACAGAGATAATGATGATGAGTATGTTTAGAACTGTTAACTGTCCAAATTTTTAACGACACACAAATAAATGAAAAAGCAGATACCAAAAATACACAGAAATTGTCAAGATCCATCACTGTTTTTTTTAAAACCGCCTTTGCAGAGCTTTGAAATAAAATCTTCCAGCATAGAGATAGTCCATGAAAAAATTAAATAATCTCTGGTGATGAGGAAAATTGCAGTAATTGTATTGGCATTCAAACCAGACCTCTTCAACAGTTAACAGAACCTTATTGCAGGAACAGGTGTACTTTCAACAGCATGTTATGCATTGATGTACACCTGTTTTTGCACTGAGGCACTGTTTCTATGAGCGGCAACCAAAACTTGCACATTTATTTATAAACGATTGAAAGATTGAAGTTGTTAAGAGGGCTGACTTCATCATCCAAGATTTTATCCCATATAGCTCAGCCTATCTGAACAGAATGACTAGCCACAGGCCGAGAGAGTTGGACAGCGTGAAATCTGTAACTCCAGTGACTATCCCCAGAGATCTTTGTAAAAACAGACTAGGGAACTAAGCCACACAGTCTGTGAAAAAAACCCATGACCTTTTCAAAGCAGAGGCAAAGAGCTAAAATATTAGGCCACAGAAATGCTCACAGCCCCCACATACACACTAAGTTTACACCCTATCATCTTGGACATGCAGTAACAGATGACAGCGGAAATGCAACATAAATCAAAATGAGAACAGGAAAGCAAAAACTATCTTCAGTCAGATATGAAAATTACTGACAGCTAGAGAGATAATCAACTCATTGAAAATGAGAATCGTTAAATATCTTGTTGTAGTATCTACACTTAACCCTGCTACAGAAACTTGGACAATGAACAGGCAAAGAGAAAAAAGAACTGAGTCTCTCAAAATATCAATATACAAAAGAAAAGGTTGTATTTCATAGAAACAAAAACAATCAAATTCAGAGGTTCTGGACAGACTGCTAATGAAAAGAAAATTACTGAAATAAATAAAAAAAAAGGAGACACCTGAAGTATTCTGGCCACATTAATAGATAAAAGACTTAAAAACCATACTGGATTAGAAAGTCAAGGGCGAGACAGCAAGAGAAAGACAATGATACAGGTGAGAGGAAAACAACAGATGGACAAATAGCAATAAGAGAGTGTGTACAACCAAGACAAGAGACAGTAAGTTGGAGATCCACTGCAGCCAACCTTCATTGTGGAGACGGCAACTAACTGATATTTTACTTTACATTCAATAATTTTCACACTAACTCCCAATCTCCATTGAAGATAAAGGGAAATAAATATTTCTGCTCATGGTGGTTTTATGCAGATTATACACACGACCCAAAATAAATAAAAATACCGACAAAAATGCTCAATTTTCATGTCTTACCTGATCTGTTGGCAATAATGGAAAATTTTCTGGAGGATTTGTGATGACATAGCGTTTAGAAGATGGACTTTGCACAGACTCATTTGTGTCCCTGAATCTATATAAGCCGATGCATAGTATTCCGAAGTTTCTCAATGCAAAAATAAACAAATCTCCGTAAGTTCTCCCTTGCTGCAATATCAAACCAGAAATATGAATTAATAGGTTAAAAAGGTTAGTTGCATATCCTTTACAGGACGTTGCAGAACCAACCCCAGCAGCCCCTTGGCTGTTGTGTGGTTTCTCTAGGCAAATTTTAGTCAAGTAGTTTGCCATTGCTTTCTGGACGGTTGGCCCCTTGAAACCACTGTCAAAACCAACGCAAGGCGCATGGCCTGCAGCTGGGATGGAACCCAGCACCTCAGCATTACGAAGCATTCGCATCGACTTAGCCAAAGAGCCGACTAATTAATAGGTACAGTAGCCAAAACATAAATGTTGATGTAAATTGCATTAGAACCATCAAAGATACATAGGAATTAGTGAAATATCATCACAATGAGTATTATTTATAGTATTAGCAATACCAATCACAGTAAGTTTTTTTGATTATTATTATTAATATTATATTTTTTTTTTTAACATGAAGTATAATAAATGGTTTTACTGCCATTCCTAGTTTAGGTTACAATGAATAAATTACGCATGACAAGCTGGATATGGTCAAGGTCCTCTGGGAGCAACTGAACAATGCAGAGGAACAAATCAAACATTAGGTCTGGAGAGAATGGTAAGTGACCAGGGCATCTGGTTGACACTCTACACCAGGGCTATTCAACTGGTGGCCCATGGGCCAAATCTGGCCCGCCAAGGCCTAGCAAGTGGCCCGCAGATTACTTCCAGCTGTATTGTATTTTCAATCTTTCTATGCTGGGGTTGAGGCCTCTGACTTGTGACGATCCCCATTTTTAACAGTTTGGCCCCTGAGCTAACTTAGTTGAATAGCCCTGCTCTACATTCAGAGGAAAATCAAGACGGACATTTAATCAAACTGCTAGTGGCAACTCTTCACTGGTTTCTGAAGGTGAGGAGACAGCCCTTCTGGGAATGTCTTGAGTGCTGTGATGTGAGTTCACAGATCAACCCTTGACACTCAATTAATAATTATCACACTATTTATAGCTGAGGTCAATAGTCACACTGCGGATAGTTTATATTATGTATAATAAATAGTTTTACTGCCACTCCTAGCTTATGTTTTCATAAAAAATAATCATCACACTAAAAAAAACTATAGGAGCAGTGTCACCAATTACACTGGGGGGGTTTTCATACTGAATGTGATAACTCTCAGTCACCAGCTGCAAGGGTGCTGAGGCAGTGTGGTGACTAGACTTTCACTTACCGGCATGAAGGTATGGTGTCACTCTTCTTCATAATGTTCACCGGCTGTAAACTCCTGCAGAAAGTTAGGGTTGTTTGTCCAATTCTGAATTCTAGTCTTGTTCCAGAACTGGAATTTTAGGTGCACATCTGTTTTACATTTCTGACTTTATTGTGTGCAGACTGCTGGTTTTTCAACTTTCAGGCAGATACACCGACTTAGAAGTAAACATCCTTTTCAAGTCTTTTGCTACATGCTTGTCTAAGGAGGGAAGGGGCAGTGGTTTCATACCCCCCCCCCCCCCCCCCCCCCAGACACACACACACTAGAGCCCAGTAACCCACAGGGGAAATGCTCTTTGTATTCAAATTTGCATCAGGGCAGATTTGTTGAAGAACTGACATTGACTCCCAGGCCGACCTAACTAAAAAATAGGAACCAGCTAATCTCCTAGGAAGTAAAAGTGGCCAGCGTGATACTGATAACATTACCCACCAAGTGCTGATTTGTCTATAACAACTTAGATTTGGCATGGCATGTTCTGTGTGTCCCGGCGTGAATGAGGTCCTTTCCTTTAGTGTCATACTATAGTCCACAACTCACATTCATATGTTACCACAGGAAAGATGCATGCTCTCAGGATTTTCATTTTTTTTAAGTCTTTTTACCATCACTGAAACATTGGCTCTTTACACTATTTAATCTTTGCATTGTTAAAATAAAGTCTCTTAATTTCTAGTGAACAGGCTGTTAATTACTGAGCCAAAGTATTAACGTTCTGAAACATTTTCCATTTTTTCATCATTATTTGTACAATCTCCCTGTTTAGATTCTGGGACCCCCATTGTGGGGAGAAAAAAGAATAGACTCACTGCCTCCCCAACAAGAATGTCATAGGTGTTGACTAATTATGGGGCTTCCTTCCGAGTCAGACTACATTTACCCAAGTGGCAAGGAACAACCAACTGCACAAAAATAAGCCAGTAAAACAGATGCCCAGGCAAAACTCAGGCCCTTGAACAAAGCCAAAGTCCAAAGGGATAAACAACCAGGACACTCTGCCAGAGCTCACAGTCGGCGAATGAAGAAGAAGAATATTTGTACAATCATGATGAATATAATCATGGCATCACAGTTCTTAGTCACAAGCAGGTCTTCGCTAGAGAGTCTCAAGAGAAACAAACTGACAAAGGCCCATCAAACAAAGAAGTATGGGAAACCTGCATCTGTCTTTGTTGGGCAGCACATGGAGGTGTTTGTTAGAGTCTAAAGAGAAATGGTTTCACTCACCCTAAACTGCAACAAAGGCCCATCAAACAAAGAAATCTGTGACACCCTGCATCTGTCGGCTAGCACATGGAGATCTTTGTTAAAAGTCTAAAGATAAATGGTTTCACTCACCCCAAACTGTGACAAAGGCCCATCAAACAAAGAAGTATGGGAAACCTGCATCTGTCTTTGTTGGGCAGCCCATGGAGGTGTTTGTTAGAGTCTAAAGAGAAATGGTTTCACTCACCCCAAACTGCGACAAAGGCCCATCAAAAAAAGAAATCTGGGACACCCTGCATCTGTCTCTGTTGGCTAGCACATGGAGATCTTTGTTAAGAGTCTGAAGAGAAATGGTTTCACTCACCCCAAACTGTGACAAAGGCCCGTCAAACAAAGAAATTTGGGACACCCTGCATCTGTCTCTGTTGGCAAGCACGCTTGGTGAGCAGTATCCTCCTCTCATCCCAGCTCCTTCCGCCAAAATCTGCTCTAATTCAGGGGTTGCTCCTCCAGTTATCAAGGTCCTGATCAAGGTGAGGGCATTGTCATTGAAGTAGCTCTGAAGACATAAGTAACTGAGATAGCAGAACTGCAGCAGATGCTAAGACAAAAACATCATCACCATCGAGTGAAAAACACAATGCACTCAACAAGACATGCAGTCTTTTTGAAACTATACAGAAAGAAACAAAATTCATACAATAAAGGTGACTGATAATTTCAATTTGAGAAAAAATGTTTTTTTTTTAAATAATTTTTGTTTTTTAAATAATGAGGTCTCAGACAAAATATTGCATAATTTATTGTCTGGCACATTTAGTAATATCTCATAAAGCATCAAGTCTGTATTTCAGTATGCCAATCAAAATATTGTGCAATATATAGTCTGTGTTTTCCTACCATATTTAATTTCACAATGGGAAAACACTGTTTTTCAACACAGCTCATTTGTTTTAAAAATAACAATAAAAATATGATAAACAACAAAAAGGAAACATGTAAACAGATGGAAAGTACATGCTGAAGGATTGTTAAATTGTGTAACTCAAATAAATACCAAAAAAGAGACACCAGCATATGAATCAAATATGGTACTTAAATATATATCTTAGCAACTCCGTGTACCTATAACTATTGTTACTACACCAACTGTTACACTGTTGCAACACATACAGTTATTACACCCACTGTTACTACACGAACTGAAACTACACACACTATTAATACACCCCCTTTTACTATACACACAGTTACTAAACCCAATGCTACTATACCAACTGTTACTACACCTTCTGTTTTAAAAAACCCATCATTAATACACCTCTTGTTACTGGATTCACTGTTACAAGAATAAAGAAGAATTCACTGTTACTAAACCCACCATTACACAATTCACTGTTACTAGGCCAACTGTTACAATGCTCACTGTTACTACACTCATGTTACTATACCCACTATTACAACACCCCCTATTACTATATTTCAATACCAACTGTTACAACACCCTCTGTTTTTACACCCCCTGTTACAACACCCACTGTTACAACTGTAATAGAGTCAGTGAACGATTACAGTTGTACCGATTAAAAAACTATATGTGTTTGTAACCACAACTCCAGAGCTTAAAGGGAAAGCCTTTTTATCATAAGATTTGAAATCCACACCTAACAAGGAGATATGGCACACCCTAATAAATACAGCACAAGCATGAATACTGCCAAGGACACTTAGGTTCATATATTGTAAATAAAAACCTTATTATTTTCAACCCTGGTCAAATAAATGTGTAATATCACAGTGACCTACACAAGTCTGGTGTATGTCACAGACAAACCCTGCTAAGATAAACAGACTTGGTACCTTAGTTACAGATAATTACAGATGATTCTCACCCCCCCCCCCCCCCCCCTTCTCCTCTGGGAATACTACTACAAAAGACCTTGGTTGCTTAGTTACCGATAAACAGAAATGACTTCTGCAAAGATGATGCTTATGACAGAGACTGTTACGAAGTTACGAGTAAAAACAGACAGGGTTGTCTGTAAAGTGTCACTAGATAACTAAATAACAGAACTCATGGGGATGCCCAGAAACTATTTAAGGTGCAGCAACAATTTTTTTGAGACGCAGTTGATTTCAGAATTATTTCGGAAACTGTAGCCGGGCCAGTAACATGTCAAGAAAGATGTTAACTAACTAGTGTTTGCATGGTATACAGTACACTCAGAAGACTCCAAAACAACCCTCAGGGAGAATGAGGAAGACCGCAAAAGAAATAAAGTTGACCAATCTACACTAGTGCCTTGTGCGACAAGTATGAGATGGGGTAACATAACGATTTTTATATCATTTTATTAAACTTTTGTGGTAGTGGTATTTCTACATTATTAATTCATTATTGTGGAAGAAGGTAGTATAGCCTGAGGTGTAATCTGCTTATAATGAATCATCAGATCTTAAGGACCCAGTTTTCATCATTCTGATTTGTGAGTTTTCAAAGTTGAAATTATGACTTCCAAATGGACAATTCTTTTAAAGTATTTGTTATATTTGTGATGTAGTTTACAAGATCTTTTATAACAAACAGGTTAACTTGATCGATGTATCACAGTTAACATTTGTGTGCCAGCTTATTAGTAAATGATGTCTCATTCAGTGGTCTGTTACATCAAGCCGCTCTCAGGACCAGTTTGGCATGACTGTCCTGAACCTGCAGTCATTTAGACATGCAGTGTTATATAATATCCACTGCTGCAAAACTGCCTGTTACAACATTCACTGTTTCCACACCCCCTGTTACTATATCCACTATTATCAGGGCTTCAGTTACAACAAACCAACCAACCAACAAACATGGCTGAACAGCACATCATTGTCACTCACAGTGCTCATTAATGAATCCAGGACACTGACAGCAAACGCTGTACCACATGCAAATGGCTGGGTCATATAGAGCTCAGTGTCAGGGTCATCATCATCATCTTGGTCGAGGAACTGAACGTTTGAGTCATTAGCTGAAGAAGAAGGATTAGGGCAACATTGATTTACTTATCACAGGAGCATAATTGTTTTATTTGTTCACTTTAAAGGATACATTACAAATACATTAAGCTCAAGAAATTGTACATTTTAGTCATTTGCTGAAGAAATAAAATTAGGACACTATTAATTCACTTGATGTAGGGGTACAGATGTTTTAGTTTATCGATAAAGCACTCTATATAAATTATACTCAGGTTACTGAATATTTTAAAAATTTGTTGAAGAAGTAAAATGAAGACACTGTAAATTCACTTATTGCAAAGTATAATTGTTTTAGAAACACTTAACATAAAATGTACTCAACACAGTGAAAACATTGGCATTCTTTTCCATTTAAATATTATTTTAAAAAATTATACCTCACTGTATGGGTGCCCTTGGTGGTTTACTGGTTAGATGTCTGCATGCTGTTCTGAAAGTCTTGGGTTTAGATTTGCATTTAGGTAGATTTTTATAACTGACCTAAGCTACTACATCAACAGCCTAAAATTGATAACAGGACATTTTCTGGGAAAAATAGATGTTGGCAATATTATGTTTGGTGTTGTCCTACTTTGCCCTAAAAAGTGCTAAATCAGTGGTTTTCAACCCTTTTCAAATACCCCCCCCCCCCCAATCCTGTTAAATACATGGCGAGACCCTCCCTCACAGACCCTCTTTAAAAAGTGTGAGAGAAAAACACAAAGAAAAAAATCCCATGCATTCTTTATTAGAACTTGGAGAAAAACATTTACATAAATCAAAGTGTCAAATAACATAAAAGAAACTACTGGGAATTAAGTGTTCAAATTGTGATTCATTTTGATCAGAATTTAAGTAGTACTCTCTGAGTGCCATTGTGGTAAGTGGAAAAATTATAATTTCTTTTTACTAATTTCTCAAAACATAACATCTGTTTATTTACTAATAACTATTACTAACACAATTTGTTTTTGTAGCAGTATTCTAATATTATTCCTCAACAATCCCAGGTCACTTTGATGTATGATACGTGTATGTTGCACGGCAGCTGAATTAGTATGTTTTAATGTTTTATTTACACTTGTGACCTTTCAAAACTGCATTACCACCCCTTCCACCTATGACGCTAAACCCCCTGAGACTCAAAAAATAAATGTTCTGAAAAGTTCCAATTTTGTTGTCACTTCCTGTGGCAGCTTCTTGTTGCAAGTATTTTTTTTTTTTTTAAATTATCACATCTTTAGAATCAATGTCTGAGGTTTCCAAAATTATAATAACTTTTTCCTGTTTCACTTCATTAAATGCTTTAATGTAATCAACAAAGCACAAAATACAGATATTTGTTCAATTCAATCACTCTTTCTGTAAACATTATCAAGATAAATATGGCGGACTTCTATTTACATTCACTTGATTCGACAAACATGCAGACACAGAAGAAACATGAAGATCCACTTGCCTAATTCAGTGATGAGAGGAACATTACCAACCACATGAGATCGTTTGCTTTCATGTAGAGGAGAAAATCCTCCAGGAATCAGGTCTGTAATGAGTTGTATAAAACACATTAATGGTGCATTGCTGCATAAAACACATTAATGGTGCATTGCTGCATAAAACACATTAATGGTGCATTGCTGCATAAAACACATTAATGGTGCATTGCTGCATAAAACACATTAATGGTGCATTGCTACTGCCTAAAACACATAAAAGATGCCCTTCTGCTTGTACTTACTTATAAACAATACTACCCATTCTCATGTCTTTCAGTCAGTGGTATGAGAGTTTCACCGTAAAAGAGATTAAGGCCTTATCATAAAATATTCTCAAGACTAAAGTGAAATTACATAGCCACTGCAGCCAATGGCAAATAGATAACATCATACAGAAGATGTATTACAGAGTTAAGTTAAAAAAATTTCTTTCTTTTGCTCTTTCTTTTGTTTTTATCTGCTTTGTGCCACTAGACATCACCCCTGAATAGAAGATAGAAAGCAGAGCTAGAGCCCACTCAGTTGTTTGGTGTCTTGTTATAGTGTGAAGTCTTAGGCTGCTAGTAACTCCTTCAATCCATCTTCTTATAGATCTCTCTCTCTCTCTCTCTGCCTCTTGGTGCTTCCATCCTCATATTGTGAGTTCTCAATCCTGGCATCATTACATTCATTCTTACCAGGTGACTGAACCATTTCAGTCTTTGTTTCTCAATGAATTTAACAATGGGTATTGCTCCAACAATTTTATTTTTTCAACAAAATCTATTCTTTTTTTGTTTGCAGCCTTTCTCAAGCATCTTATTTCACGGGTGGTAGGTTTTTTAATCTTGTTCCCTATTTAATGTCCAAGTTGAAAACTAGTTACCTAAATGTGAAACAGAGATTACATTTATTATTTGTCTTGTTATCTCCAGGTGCTGCATGTGTTCAAGTAGCAGATACTGCTGGCATGTTGGATTCTTGTGTCTATCTCAGAGTCTAGTCTACATGCAATATCTGCGTTCTCGGAAGGAAATTCTGGTAACAATTGAATTTATATTTAAACACCAGATCAGCATGTAGTGCACAAGGAGATAATCTGTCAGTCTAACTCAGAATGGCATATTTCTTCTTCTTCATCTTCTTTTTCAGCCATTTTTTGAAAAAGTAAATGTTCTGTATTTGTAAATGCTTGTATTGGTGGCACCTTTCAACAGACACATCATCTGACTTCTGTAGGCATTTGTTGCCTGCAATAGTCTTCCTGGATTCTTCTTCCTCCTTCTTCTTTCTCCTTCCTCATTCTTCTTCCTTCTTCTTCTTCCTCTTTTTCTACTCCTCCTCTTAGTTCATCTTCTGTCTATGGAGATGATCAAAGTATTTAAATTGACATTATCTTAAAGTAATCATGATAACCTGAACTCACACATGAACAAAAATATAGGCAGACAGGCAATCACATGCCAAAAAGAAAATAGAAAGATAAAGTTAAAGTTAAAGTAAAGAGGATTGACCTCATTGCACCGTTAGCAAATCAGAAGAGGACTGACATGAAATGGATGAAGTGCTATGAAGCATTGAGAATTTAAAAAAAAGAATAAAAAGAAAAGATGAAGAAGAAGAAGAAGAAGAAGGGAGAGGAGAAAGAAGAAACAGGAGGAGAGAGAAGGAAGAAACAAAAAAAGCAGTAAAGAGAGGAGAGACAAAAGAGGCCAGAAGAGAAATGACATCACTTTCAACATGACACTATGAACATATCTACAGCGCCCACTCATAATCGAGCCACATGCAACCAAATACTTTACTTTTGCTGCTGGATGACTGTATGAGACCCATCGTGTCATCAAAGGTCATGGCCTTTATGTTGAGGGAGCAGAGAATGGCCTCTTTATCTACAAGGTTGGGATCCTCCATGTTGCGATCCTTGGCAGACACAATGACACACATGTCACACAAATTGATGTTCACAGCTCGGAGGTTGGCACGATTTAAAGGTGAGCCCTGGACACAGGCAATCATAGTATAAAATTATCTTTTTAATCAACACTTTTGACAGTATAATATCAGCACCATTGCATACTCAACTTTGTGTGTATGTAGCAGGTTCTTCTTCTTCTTTTCTTTCTCCAGTAACCTCACTGAAGTGTTGGAGGGAGAGATAAGGATCTTCTGTGCACTGTTTCTAATTCACTGCATAAGTTAATCTTTATTTTCTAAAAGCATGCTCTTGTTGCTGACATTTCATCTTTTGCATAATGATTCCCCGTTGCTTTTTGTTCAGTATATTTCTTTAATAAAGCTCTTTGTACAGCAGGTACCAGGGCATTCTCATGAGATGGCCAAACCCTCTCAGCTTGTGTAGTAAGCCTCTCACCATAATTCTCAAATAAAAATGTTTTTTTTTTTTAATCTTTAGCATGACAAATAAATTCACACTTACTGATTGGCTCTTGGACAAAAATAATAAGACATAGGAGGGCACTTGGAGAAAAACAATAAGAGATAGGAGGGCATTTAAAGAAAAATAATAAGAGATAGGAGGGCACTTGGAGAAAAATAATAAGAGATAGGAGGGCACTTGGAGAAAAACAATAAGAGATAGGAAGGCACTTGGAGAAAAACAATAAGAGATAGGAGGGCACTTGGAGAAAAACAATAAGAGATAGGAGGGCACTTGGAGAAAAACAATAAACTACATGTAATGATTGATACTCTCAAAAAGAAGAAGTAGAGATACAGGATAGCACACTAGACAACATAAAAATCTAAAGTTATAGTTACCATACTAGCAATGGAACCTGTCACTACTAGGAATAAAACTTGTCACTCCAAATGATGACAGCGCCTTGCTGCAGGAAGAAAATGCTTTATGACCAACTGGATACACGTGTTGAGGAGTGCTGACCTGGTCATATGTTTAAGCACACTTGTTCTACAGTGAGGCGCTGTCATCATTTGGAGTTAACAGGTTTGGTTCCCGGGAAGGTAACTTTGGCTTTTAATTTGTATGTTCTCTAATATGACCTCTTATGTTTGCTTCATTCCTTTGCTCTGTGAGTGCTGGTCAATACATATAAATACATATAAGTTTATCATGATGTTTCAAGGGCCACAACGGATTAACTAATTCACTCATTGTCCTGCTGTGAAATTATATATGCTACATAAGGCTCGTGGTCTATTACCCCACCCTGTTTTATCCTGTGAAATCACTTATGATATCATGGATGGAATCGGGCTCAGCACCTTTAGCTTATGTGGTGAAATGCCTGGTAACTCCAGAACGTGTGTTTCTCCAACTTATTGTCTTCCATGTATTTTAAAGTATAGAGGAGAATACGCTCCTAGATATAACCGAAATCAAGGCCATCCAGAAAAAAAAGCCACTTAATTTCTCCTAGACTGCTGTTGATATCAAACACTTTTGCACAAAGAATCCACTAACACTGACAGGCTTAGACATGATGGATGTAGTTTTGTCTGTAAGACTATGGTGTCACATAATTATCTTGAGGCCAACCTCAGGGGCAGGTAACTCATGATAAGAGTAATTATCCCACTGGGATTATCTTTCTCAAACTGCATGCCAGGGCTAGGGTTGACACCTCTTGGAATGAGGTGTTAGCAGACAACCTCAGACCCAGGTGTAACAGAATTTGGCAGACTGGGAATGTAGAAAGAAGAAGGTGCGACTTTGTTTGTGATTATACAAAGCTATGTCCAGCCAGATGGACCTTTGAAATGCTGACAAGTGTTTGAGACCTTTTGACTGACAAGCATTTAGTGAATGGACTGACCCACAAGGAGAAGCTTTGACATCCCTTGAATGAGATTTGTCAAGGATGGGAAAATGAAGGAGCTAAACTGCTAATGGAGATAAGGAGAAAGAATAATAAAGTGAGAAGTTAGTTTAATTCAGACTGCGGTCAGCAAGCCATGAACTAAAAGCTGCACTAGAAAGTATCCGAGTTGTCTGAGTCTTTGGCAAATTTCTGAAATTTTCATAGGTATAAGTGAATATTATTTTCACTCTTGTACCCATCTGTTAGGAGACTAGCTAGTCTTCTCTACCTTCCTAAATTATCTAAATACACATTCTGCTTGAAATATCTCTGTGTGAGCATCTCAGGCAGCTGGTAAACTAATATTATTTCTTGAATATTTGTATTACATGGTTTGCAGTGCATGTTTTTGTGTTTACAAAATAAGACTTGAATACTGACAAAAAGAATTATGTTTAAAAAGGTGACTTATTTAGGGGTTTTTCCTTTGAAGTCAGAGTGCATCTGCCTGAGACTTGATGAATCAACAAACAGGTAAGCCAGGTCTGTAAAACGGATGTGCAAACAAAACTCAAGTTCTGGAACAAGACCAAAGTCCAGAGTTGGAGGAACAGCCAGAACGTTCTGCTGGAGTTTATAGCCAGTGAACACTAAGAAGAAGAAATAGTTAAAGTCATAACAGCCTGAACAGAAAAAGTGAAGCACTCTTTTGCCAAACAGGCTCACCGGTAAAATTGACAGCTTAGGGAAGTTCTGTAACGTTTTCCATTCCCTGTGAAGGTACTCCAAGTTTCCAACGATGATTGTGTGCTTCAGCTCGTGGTAATGGAAGTTGCTGGCACGTAGGGGCATCACCAAGTTCCGCAGCCCAATCAGAGGAGAGGTAGCATCGGCAAACAAACAAACAACAACATGATTGCGCAAACAACTGGCAGACGCTTGACTTCGGTCCTGGAAATAAAAACGAACATCAGCAAGTTAAAAAGTGACAAAACAAATGAAACATAGGTAAAACTACATGTCTTGAAAACTAAAATGCAAAAGGAAACATCAATAATTTGTCAAGTCTAAGGATACAGTCCAGCCTCTCGCTATCCCTTTCATATCTCCATATATGTAAGTTGTACCTTTCATACCTCATCATTTTTATTATCTCACGCTACAAAACAATCTGTCACTTTTGGTACCTACTGTTACATTGCAATTTATCACTTTGTGTGTCTCATGCTACACAGCAACCCACCACTTTATGTACCTCATGGTACAGAGCAATCTATCATTTTCTAAATCCTTTGATATAGAGCAATCTTTCATTTTTCCTTCTCATGGTACAGAGCAATCTATCATTTTCTAAATCCTTAGATATATAGCAATCTTTCATTTTTCCTTCTCATGGTACAGAGCAATCTATCATTTTCTAAATCCTAGGATATAGAGCAATCTTTCATTTTTCCTTCTCATCGTACAGAGCAATTCATCATTTTCTAAATCCTAGGATATAGAGCAATCTTTCATTTTTCCTTCTCATCGTACAGAGCAATTCATCATTTTCTAAATCCTAGGATATAGAGCAATCTTTCATTTTTCCTGTCTCATGTTACAGAGCAATCTATCATTTTCTAAATCCTTTCATTTAGAGCAATCTATCATTTTCTAAATTCTATGATATAGAGCAATCTTTCATTTTTCCTGTCTCATGTTATAGAGCAATCCATCATTTTCTAAATCCTATAATATAGAGCAATCTTTCATTTTTCCTTCTCATGGTACAGAGCAATCTATCATTTTCTAAATCCTTAGATATATAGCAATCTTTCATTTTTCCTTCTCATGGTACAGAGCAATCTATCATTTTCTAAATCCTAGTATATAGAGCAATCTTTCATTTTTCCTTCTCATCGTACAGAGCAATTCATCATTTTCTAAATCCTAGGATATAGAGCAATCTTTCATTTTTCCTTCTCATCGTACAGAGCAATTCATCATTTTCTAAATCCTAGGATATAGAGCAATCTTTCATTTTTCCTGTCTCATGTTACAGAGCAATCTATCATTTTCTAAATCCTTTCATTTAGAGCAATCTATCATTTTCTAAATTCTATGATATAGAGCAATCTTTCATTTTTCCTGTCTCATGTTATAGAGCAATCCATCATTTTCTAAATCCTATAATATAGAGCAATCTTTCATTTTTCCTGTCTCACGGTACAGAGCAATCCATCATTTTCTAAATCCTATGATATAGAGCAATCTTTCATTTTTCCTGTCTCATGGTACAGAGCAATCTATCATTTTCTAAATCCTATGATATAGAGCAAGCTTTCATTTTTCCTGTCTCACGGTACAGAGCAATCTATCATTTTCTAAATCCTATGATACAGAGCAATCTATCATTTTCTAAATCCTATGATATAGAGCAATCTTTCATTTTTCCTGTCTCATGGTACAGAGAAATCTATCATTTTATAAATCCTATGATATAGAGCATTCTTTCATTTTTCCTGTCTCATGGTACAGAGCAATCCAAGGTTCTTCTTAAAGGTTCTTCTGTCCAGACATGTAATGGATATTTCTCTGAGAGACTACTTGCAGAAAAGTGATTTAGTATATTCTTGTCTGTGACTGTAACACTGTCCGTCTGTATCATACACTGATAACAGCTTTCTAGATGCAAGATTTATTTGCTGTTCGTGACTGAAACAACATGAAGCTGACTAGCTGTATTTCTCATCTGGATTGATATCTTTTCATGGTATAGTTTCCATGTCTCATGACTCAGTACTGACTACCCAGGATAGAACAGAATGGAGTAAAAGACTGTGAGCCCTAAGGGACATACAATGGCACAAAAGGACATAGAATGATTGATTGTACCCACATGGGGAGATACCTCCATATATAACATATATTTCTCAACATCATCTGTCTTCTGTACGTGTTACGTTAATCATTTATTACCATTTGTTACTTTAACTTATTTTATCCCATAGTTATCATAGTTATTTTAACCCACTAAGATTCTAAGATTGCAAATATGAAATGCTTTGACTCTTTCAGCCACACAAAGTTTCTAGCTAATGTCTGATGGTAACAGTAAACTCATGGGCATACTTCTTCCAGAGGGGCCAAATATACAACCCTTACAGGAAACAAATACGTTGCCAGAGTTGATCACTAAACATAAGATGTACTACTGTCTGGGACAGTTGGATGAAAATGTTGAAGCCACAGCTGCCCAGGATTGACAGAGCTGAGAAAAAATAACGATGGTCAAAACAATGAACAATGCTAACCAAAAGCGTCTCATTGAGTGGCCTGTCTGGACACCAGTGAAACATGCCAGTAGAGTCAAATTTTCTAGGTTCCTCCATTCCGGAAGGATCTTCGGCAGGCACTGGGTTTTTATTCTGTGTCGACGGCCTGGAAATGTAAAGCGCAATCATGCGTCCTTATTGTTAGCCACATAAATTAAATGAAGCTGATTGTGGTGAAGCTATGATAATGAAATAAATAATCAAAACAACAAGACGTACAAGAAAACTTAGCATAGTGGCTAGATGCTTGCCTGAGGCCCGTAGGTCTAGAGTTCAAATCCCCGAGGTGGAATATTTTCAGAACTGACCTTGGCTCCTAAAATGGGTACCAGGTAATCTCTTCCTGTTACTGACAAGATGTACAGACATGTCGACAATGGAAGCTGTGACACCATGTTGACTAGGTTGTCTGCTGACTTAGTTGTCTGCTGACTAGGTTGTCTGCTTACTTGGTTGTCTGCTGACTAGGTTGTCTTCTGACTTGGTTGTCTGTTGACTAGGTTGTCTGCTGACTTGGTCGCTATGCGTTTACATTTTCACAGAGGCAGTGATTGTATGTGTGCGTGTGTGTGGGTGGTAGGCGGGTGTGTGCACGTGTCTGTGCCCAATTTATCTGTGCTACCAGGTTAAACTAGCGTAAAACACCTACCAGAAAATTTCTGGTCGGTAAAGGCGACCTACATATAGACATCACCCACAGAGTGCTAACTGGTCTCAAATAAGCAGCACGCCAACACACCTTAAAAAAAGGGGATTCTATACATTTTACTCCTTTTTTTTTTCTAACAGTCATGACAGACAACACTTTGCCAGCAAATGCAAATCAAATTATAACAAATTAACAAAAAAATGTACTTATGTGGGTTCTGAGGCCCCATTCTTCTTCTTCTCTTCCACATTGTAAGAGATGTAATGTACGTTGATGAGCTCTGTCAAGAGCACTATTAAGACTGATGTTCATTTCTGTAAGGTTGTTCTTAATGCCATCACTCCATCTTTTCCGAGGTCTTCCACTCGCTCTATACCCGTTGTAACGTTTTAGTGTGGATCGCTGTGGCAGATAGTACCAGGGCATTCTTGTTTGGTGTCCAAACCACTTCATTTGTTGTTCTTTGATGACCTGTAAGACTGGCTTTATTCCTAGCATTCCGAGGCCCCATTGTGGGGTAGAAAACAAGAGTAGACCCACTGGCTCCCCAACAAGTATGCTGTGAGTTAATTAACTGGGGTTTTCCTGCGAAGTCAGAATGCATCTGCCTGAGAGGCGAGGAACCAACAGTCTGTATATTTAAAAAAAAGCCAGATCTGTTAAAAAGATGTGCATGCAACACTCAGGTTCTGGAACAAAATTACAGTTCAGCGTGGGTGAACAACTAGAACTTTCCGCCAGAGTTTACAGCTAGTGAACATGAAAAAGAAGAAACTCTAAAAAAAAATCAGTTTGTCCTCTTCAGGACTTTGCAAATTACTTATAGCATTTATGAGCTGTTGTGTGGTTTACTCAGTAATTTTATTTTCAGTAGCTTTAACAGAACTCTTCAAATGAAATATTTAGAACTGATTCTCTGTGCACCTTATAAGGTCACCTGCTTTTCTGAAACCAATCTATATTTGTCCCTGCTAAATCATGCTTGTAAAATAATCAATGTTTATGTGTACATAAATCATGTCTTTGAGAGGTGGTGTTTGTGTGTGCGTGTCTACTTGTATCTGCATGTCTGTGTGTCTGATACGCATGCACAAGGTTTGTTGAGGGCTAGGTGAGGTCGTGCTGGACAGTTACAATATGCAGGAAATACATCACCATCTTACATCTCCCTATATGTTACCTGCAAACAACACTAATCTAAATCTACCCTTGAGTACAGAAGTTGCACACACAGACTGGTATTATCTATGAGAACATGCTGAGTTAAATCATTTGTGAACATGCTGAGAGGAATCAATCAAATATGAAATATATAATTATGTCTTTATTTGTGTGTGTGCATGCGTGTGAGTGTGTGTGTGTGTGTGTGTATGAGAAAGAGAGAGACAGAGAAAGAGAGAGAGAGAGAGAGAGAGATGAAGCATCAAGGATACAACAGCTGTTTGCAGCTAGTCACTAATGGCAGGACCTACATACATAGGATATATCCTACTACCCAAAGGTCATGGGGTCAGATCCGCAAAGCTGGATTTTGTCCTAAAAAATGACATTGGCTCCCAGGTCAACCCAGCCTAAAACAGATATCAGGTGCAGTCCTGGGAAGTAGAGGGGGCCAACATGATGTTGACTACATCACCCACAGAGTGCAGATGAAACTACAATTTAGGTCTAGCACCTAAGACTTTGTCAGTTAATGTTTTTCAAGAAGTAAATCTACATTTACTCAGGTCAAAACCATACATTTATTTGGGTAAACAAAATCTATATTTATTCAAAAATCTACATTAAAGCATTATGGCGAATAATATGCCAATGGTTCAGATTTTCCTGCAAAACACCAATTTAAATACACTGGATCTGGGGGGAAAAACCAGGCATTGGCAGATCTGGCTCCCCCCCCCCCTTCCGGGATCTTCCCCCTCCCCCCCCCCCCCCCCCCCCCCACCCCCAGATCCGGTGTATTTTAATTGGCATTTTAAATATGTCTGAATATGCATGGGAATGCAGGGACGTTGATTCTGATAACATAATCGCACAAAGCAACCACAGACTAATGGTAACCACACACTGACAGTAACCACACACTTATAGTAATCACATACTAAAAGAACAAAATCTAAACATTAAACATAATCACTACATACTAGTAGAAATTCACACTGAAGAAATTTTAATCTAAAAATATTCAAATGTTAAATGTAATCACAAACCAAGGGTCGTAGCTTTGCCTACTTTCTCAAGCAAAAATAAAACAAGCAAACAGCATATTTATCCTTTGCTATAGTTTCAAAACCATACAATAACATTCTTAAACAACAATCGAAGAGAAGGTGTGTGAAACATTCATAAATCAGAAACTGTAAGCTAAGAGCACACATGCAACTTGAAAAAAGAGAGCATAATGGAACTTCCAACATAAAAGATTTCCCTGTGTGTGTACCAAGGTCTTAACTCAATTTTTTTAAGTGGGGGGGGGGGGGGGGGGGGGTGGTGTAAAATGCATTGCCCCTTAACAAGCATATCTTGAAAGTCAACTCATTAACTGTCTGACAAAACTGAATGTGTTGGGCTGAAAGGTAGAGATATCACAACCTAGCTGTAAACTACAATGCCACATGCCACATACTCTTTTAACAGGAAATACTGAAGAAGTTTCCTATCAGAGAGACAAGAATGATGAGATAGTAACCACATGAATATTTCATTGTCCCCTTTCTTCTACGTTTATGATGGCTGGTTTATTCATGAGCCCACCTATAGTTTAACTCTTTCAGTCTTGATCTTGCAATCTGGTTATCTTAGTTTCAGCTTCATAGCAAACGGGTCACCCCATAGTTACTTTGCTCCTGTGCTAACGAAAAACACACAGAATGTCCATCACCATCCTTCCTGGAAAACATTGACACAGTGCAGTCTCAGCATGTCCACCAGCATACATATGCATGAAAAGCATAAGGCAGCTATCAGAATTGCTAACACAAACAGTCCAACATTACAAATGTAGTTCACCATCGATGAAAGGAGCTGTTACAAACTGATAGGCAGTTGCACACCAATTAATTTTAATCACATAAGGCACCACCAATTCAGTGGTAACAGGTCATGCTTCATTTTCTTAATCTACTGTTCAACAACACTGTGTTGGTCATAGTAAAAAAAACATTCCAAATAAAATCTGCAGCTCAAAGTGTCGTGCCATGCACTTAAACCAGTAGCAGGGTGACAAAACTATATCTTTTCAGTCTACAACTGGAGGAAAATTCAACAGCCAACGTCTGTCAGAAGCTAATAATTTGCCATGATTAGAATGCAGTGCGTTAGGTGTGACCGCCTCTTTTCACAAATCCCAGCCATCGAGCAATGTCTTCTCTAAACAAACAGATATAGTAATCAGGGCTTTATATTCTGGCAGTATGCATCAGTACATATTACTGGTACCTTTTTTTTTAGGAATCAACAACACCGGACAAGTGATAACTTGAAAAGCTGAGGTAATGAAACAATTATCTGAGTAAAGACTCAGAAAATTGTATCCTATATAGTTAAAGTTAGTTCCGTATGCTTTACAGAACGTTGCAGAACCAACCCCAGCATTGGCAATTTTAATCCAGTAGTCTGTCATTGCTTTCTATATAAAAGAACTAATACCCAAATGAAGATTTCCCGGGCATAAATTGAATAAAGAAGGATATACTTCAATGTTCATAGTGAAAATAAAAATAATATAGCATATTCGAATATGATAACAACACTAACTCCAGTTCAAATCGGAATCAATACATGTGCTAAATCTAAAATATGATAACACAACATATGCACAATGAAACTAATACTAACAAAAGGCTGAAGCAACAATCTACATGAAATGAAGAAAGCAATGTATATATACATACTAATGACAAATTGTATATTTATTTATGTCCATACATATTAATGAAAATAGGTGGTGGTCACATATAAATTTAAATGACAAACACACATGTATAAACAAATAAATATGTATTACATGATTTTAAAAAAAAAATTATTCGTAGAAATAAAATAAGTGAGAATTACAGCAAGCAAAATAAAAAAATAAAAAAAAAAGATTCAGTGCTGATTTTTCATTTCTAAACCTCTTTATGCTCTAGTATGTACATGTATGTAAACATATGATCTATTTGATGGTTGATAAAATGCTTACTTGATACTAGAAGCGTAAATTTGTAATTTGATTGTTATAATTATATTTAATCATTAACAATTTATGTCCTTATATGAAATCTCGGCACATCATAAATTCCAGCATGTTGAGATGTAATTAATAAAGGAATCAAGTGTATATTCATTATACCTAAACCTTTATTTAACTTCTTGGTGATTTTAATATCATAAATTACTGTCTTGCTTTAATTTAGATTGAGTCCAGACAATTCTGAGACTAGATTAAGAGCTTGAAAAGTGGATACTACTTGGTG